TCACCGTGTTGACCACGATGGTCTCGATCTCTTGACCTCGTGATCCACCCGCCTCGGCCTCCCAAAGTGCTGGGATTACAGGCTTGAGCCACCGCACCCGGCCTGAAATATATTTCTTAGATAATATGACTTGAAGGTCTAAATTACTCCTTGATTTATGGGCCGCAGAATAGATTTGTGTTAGCAGGCATGAAAAAAACATTATTCTCCTTGCACATCTCTATCAGAGCTCTTGGGTAATGAGGCTCATTGTCAATGAGCACTAATATTTTCAAAGGAATCTTTTTCCCTGAAGAGCAGGTCTCAACAGAAAGCTTAAAATACTCATAAAATAACGTGCTGTCATCCAGGCTTTGTTGTTACATTTATAGAGAGCATATTTAGCCTAATTCTTAAGTGCCCTAAGACTTTTTCTAAAATGAACACTGGTTCAACCTAAGGTCACCAGCTTCACTGGCCCCTAACAAGAGTCAGCCCATCCATTGAAGCTTGGCATTGACTTCTCTCTAGCTATGAAAGTCCTAGCTAGCATCTTCTTTCAATAGAAGGCTGTTTCATTTACATGAAGAATTTGTTGTTTAGTGTAGCCACTTTCATCAGTGATCTTAGCTAGATCTTCTGGAAAACTTGCTGCAGCTTCTATGTCAGCACTTGCTGCTTCATCTTGCACTTTGATGTTAAGGAAACGACTGTTTTTCTTAAGCCTCGTGAACCAATCTCTTTTAGCTTCAAAATTTTTTTCTGCAGCTTTCCCATCTCTCTCAGCCTTCATAAAATTGAAAAGAATCAGGGCCTTTCTCTGGTTAGGCTTTCGCTTAAGGGGATGTTGTGGATGATTTGATCTACCCAGACCACTAAGACATTCTCCATGTTAGCAATATAGCTGTTTTGTGTTATCATTAGTGTGTTCACTGGAGTAGCATGTTTACTTTCTATGAAGAACTTTTCCTTTGCATTTACAATTTAACTAGAAAAAGAGGCCTACCTTTTAAGCCTATCCTGGCTTTTGATATGCCTCCCTCACTAAGCTTAATCACTTCTAGCTTTTGATTTAAAATGAGAGATATGCATCACTTCCACTTGAATACTTAGAGCCAATGTAGTTAATAATTGGCTTAATTTCAGTAATGTTGTATGTCAGGGAGTAGGGAAGCCCAAAAAGAGGGAGAGAAGGAGAAGGAAGAAGGAGCAGTCAGAATACACACAAAAATTAAGCCTGCCATCCTATGGGCACAGTCGGTGGTACTCCAAAACAATTATAATAGTAACAAAGATCACTGAGTGCAGATCATGATTACAGACAGAATAATAATGAAAAAGTTTAGATACCAAAATGTGACACAGAGACATAAAGTGAAAACATGCTATTGAAAACATGTTGAGCTGATAAACTTGCTTAACGCAGGTTTGCTAAAAACCTTCAATTTATAAAGAAAAGGGGATTTCTGCCAAGATGGCCAAACAGGAACAGCTCCGGTGCACAGTTTCCAGTGAGAGCAATGTAGAATAGGGGAGATCTCCACATTTCCAACTGAGATACCAAGTTCATCTCACTGGGAATGGCTAGACAGTGGGTGCAACCCAAGGAGGACAAGCTGAAGCAGGGTGGGGCGTTGCCTCACCTGGGAGGTGCAAGGGACCAGAGAACTCCCTCTCCTAGCCAAGGGAAGCCATTAGGGACTTTCCCTGACACTCTGGCTCAGATACTGAGCTCTTCCCATGGTCTTCATAACCCACAGACCAGGAGATTCCCTCCGATGCCTACAACACCAGCACCTTGGGTTTCCAGCACAAAACTGGGAGGCTGTTTTAGCTGTAGCAGGTTTTTCTTCTCATATCCCAGTGGCACGTGGAACACCAGTGAGACATAACCGTTCACTCCCCTGAAAAAGGGGGCTGAAGCCAGGGAGCCAAGTGATCTGGCTCAGCGGGTCCCACCCCCATGAAGACCAGCAAGCTAAGATCCACTGGTTTGAAATTCTTGCAGCCAGCACAGTAGTCTGAGCTCAACCTGGGACATTCAAGCTCAGTAAGGGGAGGGGCATCCCCAATTGCTGAGACTTGGGTAGGCGGTTTTAACCTTACTGTGTAACAAGTCCTGGGAAGTTTACAGAGCAACTGGGCAGAGCGGATGGCAGCTCAGCAAGGCCTCTGCAGGCAGACTGTCACCAGTCTCCCTTC